GGTGAGACCGATTTTGGTAATTAGCTAACCAGAGAGTTGGTCAGGCAAACTCGGTGGGACTGATTTGCTCTTTCGGTGAGACCGAAAAGTTACAAAAAGGAAACACTGAATTTACATTGCAATCTCGGTGGGACCGATCCGCTCTTTCGGTGAGACCGAAAAGTTTCGAAAAGGAAACAGAGAGTTTGCAATCCCATCTCGGTGAGACCGAGATCCCTATCGGTAGAACCGATTTGCTAGGGTTTGGCAATGGCTATGACAAGTGAAACTCGGTGGCGCCGGATTGAAAGAATCGGTAGGACCAAGTTTGGCTTTGGGTTTAGGTCAAATGTGGATATGGGAAAGTAGCTGAGGGTTTTGGAGCATATCACTAAGCACATGAAGCAAGAGGCTCATTAAGCAACACCTCATCCCTCCTTGATAGTATTGGCTTTTCCTAAAGACTCAATGTGATCTTGGATCACTAAAATATAAAATGAAGAGTCTTGAGCTTTTGAGCTTGAGCCAATCCTTTGTCCTTAGCATTTTGAGGGTTCCACTTTTACCATCCATGCCATGCCAATCATTGAGCTTTCCTGAAATAATCATCTTGAATAGCATTAGCTCAATGAGCTATATGTTGTTATGAATTACCAAAACCACCTAGGGATAGTTGCACTTTCATAACTTAAGAATAATCGCTTTAAAACTCTTAGAGTGGATATCGTGCACAATTTCATGCAAAGAAAGGATGCCATCTAAAATAAAACGACCCTTAATGAAAGCAGATTGGAAGGGGCTAATAACTCTATGTGCAACAGGGGATAGTCGGTTAGCAAAGCCCTTAGCCAGAAATTTAGCGAAGTTATTAATCAGAGCAATATGCCGAAATTGAGAAATTAACTCAGCACCCTTGACCTTGGAGATCAGAGTAATGACGGCGTAATTCAAGCGGGAGATATCGATAGTGCCAAGGCAAAAACCCTGGATAACACTGCAAACCAGCTACTTTAACTGATGCCAGAATTTTCGAAAGAAAGGGATAGAAAAGCCGTCTGGCCCGGAGGCAGCATTCGGGTTAACCGAGTTAACTATATCCCAGATTTCCTGATCAGAGAGGGGAATCATCAACGAAGCATTTTCCTCAGCCAAGACTTTTAAACCCATGTTCCAAAGAGAAGGGGATATCGAGAGGCCCGAAGGAGGTTTAGCCCCAAGCAGAGTAGAGAAGAAGTCCCGCACGTGATTCATAATAATAGATTGGTCCGAAGACCGCACACCATTGATGATCAGGCTGTTGATACCACGGCGCCTCCTCCTACCGTTCGCGATGGCAAAGAAATAAGCAGTGGGGGAGTCACCTTTGAGTGTCCAGTTGAGCGTGCCCCGCTGGCGCCAATAAACCTCGGCCTGGTGGTGCAACTGCATAAAGGCAGCCTCGAGGTTGTACCTCACTATCCAGCCATCCTTAGTAAGCCCAGCAAAATCGGCAGTCGAATCAAGGGCCATGATCTGGGCCTCAAGGAAATCTTTGGAACGACGGTCCTCCGTCGCACGGTTGCGAGACCAACCCCTAAGAAATTTCCGCAGGTTGTAGGAACAGGAATGCCAGTCATCCAGAGGGCCGAAAGATCGCGTATGAGAGGAGAGTAGGCGGGATATTTTCGCGGCCATAATATCAGTAAAACCATCAATGAGCAGCCAAGAGGCATCAAATTGAAATCTAGCCGGGGGTCTAAGGTTAACAGAGCCGTCATCAACAATAAGTGGGGTATGGTCAGACCCAACAATGCATTTGGCGCCAAGGGAAGCCCTAGGGAAGAGGGAATCCCACCTGGGACAGATGAACACTCTATCAAGAACAGATCTAATGGGGTTAGCCTGGTGATTGGACCAAGTAAAGCGGGCTCCAACTCGGGGAAGTTCACGAATAATGTTGGAGCTAATAAAGTCGTTAAAGGCATCCTCCAAAGGCCAGGAGAAGATATCATTACTTTTATCAGAAGGACAGCGAAGGAGATTAAAATCACCCCCGATAACCATCGGGAGGGTGCAAGATTCGATCTTCACAGAGAGCTCATTAAGAAACAAAGGAGAGAGAGAGTGATCAGTAGGCCCATATACCATGATATATTGAATTAAAGTATTCAAAGCTTTAAGACAGAGTACAGAACTGACCCAAAAGACCCCATGGTCATAAGCAACAACATCAAAAATATCTTTATTAGAGCCTATCAAGATCCCACCCGAGTGACCCGAGGAAGGTAACACATGCCAGTCAAATCTATCCATGTCCACGATAGCTGAAAGTTCGTTAGGGGAGAAGGATTCCTTAAAAGTTTCAACCAACCCCACGAAGTCAATATTGTTCAAGCGGATCAGATCTTTTATTTGGTCACGACGCCCCCTAGCACCAAACACTCTAATATTCCAAAATAGAGCCTTCATTTATAAGACAAATTTTAATGCGGAGACTCGACCTGCTAGGGGCCGCGCAAGTTTTAACTCTTTTAGAAGTGCCCCTCCTGGAAGAACTGGGCTGGGGCTGGCCACTACCAGCTCCCACACCCGCCTCCGAACCCAGAGTATTACTAGAGTCAACAGCGGCGGGGGCAACGACCTCTTTAGCTTTAGCAATGGCCGCCTGAGCCACCTTGTTAGCCCGAATAGTTGCAAGGAGAGAACTAGGGGAATCGACATTAGAATCAACCACCACACCCACATCTGACATGATATTTAAAAGATGATTGTCCGAAAGAGATGGTAAAACCAGCCGAACCGGAGAGGAGCCAACGGAACGGGTGGGATGAATACCTGGGGTAGGAAGATCCTTCGTCGCAGCCCGCTTTTCCGCCCGCTCCAAGATAGAACCGCCCGAGTTGGCCATCCGCCTACCTTTGTGAGCCATGGACGCAGGCGACGGGATCGCATGCGTCCGAGTCACGGGGGAAGCCGGAGATGGACCCGAGCGAGGCATGGACCCGAGATCCTTGTCGAGGCGGCGGCAGACTCCAGTCATGGATTGTTTCGAGCCCAACGAGTTCCTGCGTTTAGCCGAGAATTTGTGCACCGAAGATTTCTTCTTCCTTTGACACTGGGCACCCACCACATCACGAACAGGGGAGGCGGGCAAGTCCTCAATCCCGGAGCGAGTGGGGGCGATAGGACGGGCGGGGAGGTTGGAGCAAGCACCAGACATGGGAGAGCCGACACAGGCGGGTTCTTCAGAGAAGCAACAACTGGAGCAACACCCATGGAGTCAATAGGAGGAATCGCCATAGCCTCACGAGGGGCCACACCAGAAGGAGCTTGAGATTGGTACAACTCCCGTTCAGACTCAGGCAAGCCATCCCACTCAGATTGGGTCTAATGTTTTAGAAATTGTAAGGGATGTGCCTCTGCCGTCAAAGTTTTTGCAAGGGAGACTCCGAGCTTGTTGGAATACCTGTATGAAGCCTGGGTGGTCGTAATGGACAGAAGAGAACGGATATATCCAAGGTGAATTTTGAAATAGGTTTAATAATGGTATTAGGGAAGACCATAGTCCAGCTAGCCAAGGTCAAAAATAAATATATTCATATTTATCTATTCTTTGTGAGCAAAAAACATAGAACCTTCACACAGTATAAGGTAAACAGTTCTCATTTTGGATTTAAATCTCATATGTAGAATTCAGTTACAAATCAAGGGTGAAAAATTATAATGAGAATATTATAAGTTCAATACTATCTCGAACTTGTACTTGTAAGATTTATTTTAATGTTTTGCATGTTTTCAATATCACATAATCAGTTTGGATGCCCGAAAATAAATTAGAGAGATGCTGAAAATAATCATATATATCAAATAAGATCATTAAAATATATTTCCTTCAGAAGACTTGCATTTTATTAGACATTGCGGCCATGCTTTTATGAAAACTAAAATCCAGCATGGTATTATTTGTTTCTTTATCTATCAAGTGGCAGATGACTACACTCGCCTTTAATCGGTATTGGATAAAAACCTCGATGAATGTGGACCCTTCGATCATACAATTGACGGTCCATAACTCGAGAAAATATGAACATCTAAAAAAAACACTAGAAGGAGATTACATAAGTGAGTTAGAATGACAAACAAAAATATGCTGATAAAATATTTAGGCAAACTGCCTACAAGGCTAAGATTGTGCAATAATTGCAACCGAGCACTAGGTATTACAACAATCCCAAATGAATAGCCATATGAAATGCAACCTATATATGCCCGAGTTAATAAACAAAGTTCGAAGCCAAATGCTGAGGTATTGTTGGGTATCAATTACTTGAGTAGAGGGGACAACATAAGAATCACACTTGGATCTCATTGAGTAGTAGCCACAAAAATAGCAAATGCAATGTTGCAGCCAGTAAAAGTAAACAGAAAATATCAATTAAGCAAAAGAAAGGGAAATATTCCATTCTGCTACTACTAAAAAGATAAGCTTACTCCCTCATTTAATACATCACAATAGCATATCCATTTGACCAATCATCTTATGTATTGTGCAAAAATTTAGCTCCATCATGTCCACCACCAATGCTCATTCCTACAAGGGGAAATTCCAACCATTATGTATCTCATCTTGAGAAACATCTGCACTGCAGCTATGCACTAATACTACCAGTTGTATCAGATTATTGGGCATTGATGAGATATTTGGATAAACTCACATATGTAATTTGAGGAAAATAACCCAGGTTTGATACATCATGACGAGTAAATAAACAAAACCCCTACTCTCTAAGAAAGAGAATATTCTTGAAACAATAAATACTCACTATTGCCATAAAAAATGAAGAATATGCACACTCAGACAATTAGCTAACCTGAAGGGAGAAGTATGCTTAAGCACGCTCCACAATAAGAGTATGAGAATAGCAAAAAACAGCATTGCTAAATTTTATTTTATTTTTGACAAATGAGATGCACAACTGGTTTCAACTAAGGGAACTCAAATCACGGTAGAGTAGAATCACCTCTCCAGAGAGCAGAACTGGTTAGCTACAGTAAAATATATTCTTTCCAAATCATAACCATCACATAGAACACCACCACACAAACATCCAAAAAGAAGACTCCATCGCTATATGTTGAGGAGATCATCCATCAGCAAAAGAACCGATTTATATGGAACTAGTTACACTTGTTATCTTAACACGAAAGGATGTGAACAGCATTTAATCAACCAATTATAGATATTATCTTGATTTTGCTATACCTACTACAATGTAAAGGCATATGCTATTACCTGCAGCATAAACACTTTCAAACGGATGATAATAAACCCACTTCTTGGTCTTGGAAACTTTCTTGAACTGCAGTGGCTCAAGCTGGATCATGAAGAGGTCGGTAGGTGTCCGTAGCAGCAACACATTATTGTACTCAGCAAACCCCTCTATACTTTGGTGCCATTTCCTCTTCTTCCTTGAATTAATGGAAAGTAGCTTATCCAGTTCAACAGTTCTTCCTAGCACCCATGAAGCAGCACCATCACAATCGGTCTCCACCATCCATAATTGGGCGCTGAAATTTGACAGAAATAGAATGCCAAGGCCACCACCCTCTGCCTGCATAACCTGGAATCGGCACATGTTTTCCTTGGGAATACCCACTGGTACTGGTTTCACAGCTAGGATCTGCTTCTCCAAATCAAACTCAAGTATGCCATCCAACAGTAGAGTTTTTGCCGACCTGTCATTGAACAACCAGTAAAGGGAATGCCCAACTAGCACACCCATGGTAAAGTACATGTGACTGTTGGTGGGAAGTTTGTATGGAAGTGGTGTTGATATGCGATCACCCCATTTGGCAGTCTCCGACGAGTAAATGCGGGCGAAGGCCCGTGTATGTTGCTGCTCGTCTGTCTCTGTGCTTACCAAGACCACCCGGAAGTGTTGAATGTCTCCGGCGGCGCGAAAAACCGCCCCTTTAAATGGGGCCTCGAGCCGATCGAACTCTGGGGGAACGGCTACGCGGTGTAGGTCGATGTTGAAGGGATCCCACACCAAGAGCTGGTACCGCGCTAATTGGTAGATGAGTAGGAGGCCATGGCGGTATCCCAAGGGCATGAATATGCCGTCGCCATTCTTGCCGTGGAGGCACAAGGAGAAGTGGCCATCCGGGACACGATTGGGGGGATCCATTGCAGGTTTGAAATTGAAAGGGTCGAAGAAACCGAGGAGAGGAGGGTCGCGGCGGTGGTGGAGAAGGAAGCGGCGGGAGAAGCCGGGGTCAGAGATGAGGCCGAGCCAGCGCTTGGAGATGAGGGAGGCGCGAGGGAGGGAGGACAGATCCGGCGAGAGGCGGAGGAGGATCTCAGAGAGGAGGTTGTCATCCTCCAGCGACCGCGCCGCCGACGAGCGGGAGCGACGGCGGCGGCGACGGCTACTCCTCTTGCCCTCGTCACAATTTCAGGAGAAATGCGGGTGATATGATGATACCATGCCAAGTTTCAACATTTTCAGGATTCATTTTGTAGTGATTTTCAATTTGACGGTCTTTTAGCTCTCTAAACAATTAGGTAAATGACCGTAAAACAACAAATGATGTCAGAACATGTTGGAAATTGATGACGTCGCTTTGAATGCTGCATACTGAACACAAAAGAAGTCCGGAGTTCAAATAAGTTATTAAAAATAAAAAAGAGGTGCAATGCTGGTTAATTTGCTTCAAGCCATTCGGAATAGTGTAGTTAGTACATGTGTTAAATGACCGAAAAACAACAAATGATGTCAGAACATGTTGGAAATTGATGACGTCGCTTTGAATGCTGCATACTGAACACAAAAGAAGTCCGGAGTTCAAATAAGTTACTAAAAATAAAAAGAGGTGCAATGCTGGTTAATTTGCTTCAAGCCATTCGGAATAGTGTAGACTGCACTGCACATAGCTCAGTGCAATCTATGCTATTCCGCAAGGCTTGAAGCTAATCAACATGTAGGTGAGCATTGCAACTCTTCGTCATTGTCTGTGCACTCACGACTTATAAACCGCTCATACTGCCTCTCTCTTGGCGAGGTGGGACTAAAAATAAGCTTACAAAGAAACTCTAGTACCGGTTCATGGCATGAACCGGTACTAAAGGTCTTCGTGGGGGCCCCAGACCGACCATAGCCTGACACAGCCTCATTAGTACCGGTTCGTGGCATGAACCGGTACTAAAGGTTACCCACGAACCGGTACTAATGATGCCCGCTCGCCTAGCCGTTGGAACCGGCACTAATGGTAACATTAGTGCCGGCTCAAATTCAAACCGGCACTAATGTGCTTCACATTTAACCCTTTTTCTACTAGTGGCTTGTTGTCAAATTTCAGTTCATGCTGTGGCAGGAACAGAATCGTCCGGTACCATGAGACTCCGAGCATTGGTTGGCAATCAGGTCATGTTATTGTTGGTGGATTCAGGCAGTATGCACACGTTTGTCAACTCGTCATTCGCAGAGCGTGCATGTTGTATCATCCAGGATGTAATGCAATCCAACCAACAGGTATCTCAACTGACATGGTGGTGCCAGGGCAACATATTTAGCACGGACTTGCGCCTGCTTGAGTTGGGTGCATATGATGCAGTCTTGGGTGTCGATTGGCTCGTGCAATTCAGTCCAATGAACTGTCAGTGGGACTCAAGACGATGGAATTCAGACATGGAAATGTTAACATCAAACTGCAAGGCGTGCGCACTCCAACAGAGCCAACATTGACAGAAATGCGAGCAGATCAGCTGTCGAAGTGGATTCAGGGGAACGATGTGTGGGCACTGGCAGTAATTCAACCTGACGATCACACTCAGTCATCTGAAGAACACATACCTCCACAATTGCAAGCTCTCCTGGACGAGTATACTGATGTCTTGCAAGATCCCAAAACCCTGCCACCACACCGTGAGTTTGATCATGCCATCCATCTCGAGCCCGGCTCCTCTCCACCAAATGTCAGGCCCTACCAGTACTCTCCATTACAGAAGGATGAGATCGAACGCCAAGTCGCTGAGATGCTCCAAGCAGGTCTGATCACAACAAGCATTAGCCCCTTTGCTGCACCTGTTCTGCTCGTAAAGAAAAAGGATGGTACGTGGCGCTTCTGTATTGATTACCGTCGACTGAATGACATCACCATTAAGAACAAGTTTCCGTTGCCTGTCATTGACGAATTACTCGACGAGCTGGCTGGCGCCCGTTTCTTCTCCAAAATTGACCTACGAGCAGGCTATCACCAGATTCGCATGCACCCAGAAGATGAAGCCAAAACAGTTTTCAAGAGCCATCATGGCCACTTTCAATTCCGTGTGATGCCTTTAGGTGTGACAAATGGCCCACCCACTTTTCAGTGCTTGATGAACTATGTGTTTGCCCCAGCCACCCGCAAGTATGTCATCGCCTTCCTGGATGACATTCTAACCTACAGTCCATCATTTGATGAACATTTGCAACACATCTGACAAGTGTTTGCCACTTTTCGTCAGCATCAGCTGTATGCCAAGTTTTCCAAATGCTCGTTCGCTAGACCATCCACCAACTATTTGGGGCATGTGATCTCAGCGGAGGGCATGGCAACTGAAACTGATAAAACTGATGCAATTCAGCACTGGCCCCAACCATCGTCCCCAACCGAACTACGAGCATTTCTAGGTCTCACTGGATATTACCGTAAGTTTGTACGAAATTACAGCATTATCACAAAACCGTTGACATCTCTCTTGAGCAAGAAAGGTTTTGTCTGGACAGATGCCGTGACAACAGCGTTCCAGAAACTGAAACAGGCCATGATCACCACGCCAGTACTCGCCTTACCAGATTTCTCTCTGCCATTTACAATGGAGACTGATGCGTGTGACACTGGTATAGGCGTAGTCTTGTCCCAGCAAGGCCATCTGATCGCTTTTCTCAGTCGTGCACTCGGTGTTACCAATCTGAAACCTTCTGTTTATGAGAAGGAATTCCTTATTGTCATGATGACCATTGATCATTGGCGCCCCTACCTACAGCGAGGGCCGTTCACCATTCTGACAGACCACAAGAGTCTGTGTACCTTAGGAGAACAACAGCTTGGCTCGGAAGTTCAGTGCAAGGGAATGGCCAAGTTGGGTGGTCTTCAGTTTCAATTCAAATGCAGACACGACATCGACAATAATGCCGCTGATTCCTTGTCGCGTGTTGGTCATTTGTTCACTGTAACAGCTACTTCCACCTGTCAGCCCTCCTGGATACAAGAGGTACATAATACTTACCAGACTGACGCCAAGGCAAAAGAGTTACTGCAAGCATTGGTGATTCGCAGCCCGGACGACCAAGGCAGTGAACTAGACAGGGGCTTGATCAAGTACAAAGGCCGTTTATGGATTGGCGACAATGCTGCAGTCCAAACCAAATTAATTAATGAACTCCATGCTGCAGCCGTGGGTGGTCATTCAGGTATTCATCAGACCTATCTCAGACTGAAGAATTTGTTTTATTGGCCAGGGATGAAACTCCAGGTGGAAGAATTTGTCAAGCAATGCGCAATCTGTCAACACACGAAGCATGAACACACTCATCCACCGGGCACTCTACAACCTCTGCCCCATACCTGCTCGTGCATGGGGCGATGTCACAATGGATTTTGTCAAGGGATTGCCGCGATCCGACGGAGCAGACGTAATCCTTGTGGTGGTGGATCGCCTGACCAAGTACGCCCATTTCATGGCACTGCACCATCCTTTCACTGCTCCACAGGTGGCTTGCATCTTCCTCGACAACGTCGTCAAGCTGCACGGTGTGCCTGACTCAATCGTCTCCGACTGTAACAAGATCTTCATGAGCGCATTTTGGCGTGAATAGTTCGCGCTCGTCGGCACAAAGTTGCTCTACACCACGGTGTACCATCCACAGACGGATGGACAGAGCGAGCGTGTCAACCAGTGCTTGGAGCATTACTTACGTTGTGCTGTTCATGACACACCACATTGCTGGAAGCGCTGGCTGCCTATGGCTGAATTTTGGTACAATTCCAGTCATCACAGTGCCATCGGGTGCACGCCATTCAAGGCTCTCTATGGCGTGGAACCAAACTTCGGCGCCTTACCCAATCTTTCACAATCAAGACATCGGAGTCCATTCAGGAGCTGGCCGCCGAGCACCAACAATTTACTGACATGCTTAAATCACATCTCTTGCGAGCTCAACAAAGGATGAAGCATCATTTCGACCGCAAGCGCACTGAGCGGGAATTCAACATCGGTGAGCAGGTGCTCCTAAAATTGCAGCCCTACGTGCAGTCCTCTATTGTCAGCCGGCCATGCCCCAAGCTTGCTTACAAAATCTTTGGCCCCTATAGAATCATCAGCCGGGTGGGATCGAGGGCATACAAGCTCGAATTGCCGCTAGAGAGCAAATTCACCCTATTTTTCATGTTTCGCAGCTGAAGCCGTTCATGGAGGACTACTCTCCAGTCTTCCATCAGCTGCCTACGCCACCAGATCTCACAATTGGTGACTTGGTGCCTCAAGCCATCTTGGAGCGTCGTCTGGTCAAGAAGGGAAACGCGGCGATTCCACAGGTGCTGGTGCAGTGGCGCACTCTATCGCTGGCCAGCGCGATGTGGGAGAACTACAATGTCCTCCGGCAGCACTTCCCCGACTTCAAGCTCGATGAGGGGGCTCTGTCCCAAGAAGGGGCAAATGTCACGCCCTCCTCTCCTCCTGTCACCAGAGAAGAGAAGGCGGACAGCGAGGCACTACCAGTGCTACCAGGTGACGAGAACGACCAGGGCCCACGAGCAGGGAGTGTAGAATAGTCTTCGTTAGGAGCTAGACTGTGACAGGTGGGGCAAGTGTTGCCCAGGTTATATGTATGTGAGAACGACCAAAGAAGGGGAGCTTGGTAATTGGGAATTATCCAAAACTCTGTATTCGCTCTCTTGCTGAACAAGTTCCTCCTTCCTCCTTCATCTACCTCGATCCCCTTCTCCTTCCAAATCTCCCTCTACCTCCCCTGGTCCGATCCGGCGTGGGTCGTGACAAGCAACTTGCAACACAGAGCAGATCATCTTATTTCTTTAGATTAGAGGCCCAAATTTTTTCACCTAAGTGATGAGAAGCTAACTCGTGAAATACTTCAGACAAAAGCCAACTCAAACTAGTCCTTCAGACAAAAGCCAACTCAGACTA